ATGCCGAGGGCCTTTCACAGCTTCTCAGGGGGAAGGAGATGGAGAGGGGTTCTCCCCAGGAGACTGCAGCAGTCATAAAGTGAGCCGGGGGTCAGGTTCATTTGTGCCGAGGGCTCCTCGTGTGGCGGCTACCGGGATTCTAGGGCACAAAGACGCTCGAGGACTGCAGAGGGCTGCTGCTTTGCTCCAAGTCTCTCCCTTCATAAATTAAAGAAAAGGTGAACCAGAGGAGAAAGCTGGCGGGGCACCGAGGTTGTTTATAGGTCCTCGAATGGAGATGGAAGGCTGCCCCCTCCCCAGGGCCCCAAGGACCAAGGGGTCAACTTGCATTTTTTAAAAAAGGACATGCAAGCAAAGTTAGCAGAAAAAAGGTGAGCACTTAAAACAGGCTGAGCAGCGGGATGTGGCCTGGGTGGCAGAGGGATCGATTCTACAAAACGGGTTCAACCCAACAGGCTAAAAGCAAAGGCTGGCTTTGCCGGGTCAGTGGCCTGTCAGTCCAATGGGCCCTCAGCGGCACACGTCAGAGCCACAGGACCCTGGTGGCTGCAGCTGGGCGGCTCGGCTCTAATTCAGCTCACCTGATGAAGCCTCTTCGGGAGATGATTTCCGCGTGGCAGTCATTGACGGTTTCTCCCTTTAGGCTGAGAGAATCTCCTTTTACGCAGCGGTTCCCTGGGAAGGCATTTATAACAAAAACTGAACAATTAAAGGAAAATGGTGACCAGTGGGCGGAGGCTGTTTGTGAAGTTGGAAGGCAGAACAAGCCTCAACTGCCGGGAGCCTGGACTCGCACATTCTCTTCCCTAGAAGGGCTCATTCCCCACTACGGTCTGACTGGGGCTAAAATGAAGCTCAAGAATCTCTTCTCCCTGCCGTGGCCTTGCTCACAGCGACTCCAGGAGGAACGAGAAGGACCTGCTTCCTGGCACCACGCAGGAGCACGTCCCGGGCAGCGTGTTTCAGCCTCACTCACCTGTCCCCAGGCTGACTACGACACCCATGTCCTCAGAGTCTTTCTTCATAATGATGGCAGCCAGGATCTTGCGGCCAAGCAAGGAGGGCTGGAAGCTGTTAGTGAGGGCATTGAAGCACCGGTGGCTCAGCATAGCGATCTGGTCGTGGAAGGTGCTGCCAGTGAGGGGAAGCTGCGGGGACAGGAGCTGCGTCAGGCCCTCGCCGCCGAGCCTGCGTCCACCGTGTCACGGTGGGCAGGGAGATCACAGCCTACTTGACCTACGAGTCATCTTTTCCATCTTGCATCTACAGTCCCCGTTATGCGCTCTCCTGAGGCTAACATTAAAGCCTAGGAATAAGTCACATGATCGCAAGTGAAGAGCCGACTCCCCCTAGGGAGGAGTTAGCTGGATCCCCCCAGAAAAACAAAGCACCAAAAGTAGACGTCTTAACTGTCTTTGGCTGTGCCTCTGGGGACCTTGAGAGGAGGAGCATAGTTCTTCTGAGACTGGCCCCTGTCACTGGGGTTACCTCTGTGAAACCCATGCGCTCTGCCTTCTCGTTCTCCCCGATCAAGACACGGAGAGCCGCATCGGCCGCTTCCTGCTTGCCTTGCTTCTTGCTATGTGCGCAGACAGCTGGGAACCAGCGACCCCCAACTTTGGCCTGGTAAACGAACCTGTGGGATGAGAAGCGGGGGATAAAGATAAGCACCAGACCATGACAGCTGTTCCAGAGAAGGGCTAGTTTTGCAAAAGCATGGCTCTGCCCACAGCTCAGCTTCTAAGGCAGCACGTCTTGGATTTTGGTCTTTTGTGAGTTGCACCATGGTTTTTTGCTAGATCTGGACGTCACCTGGACTGTTCTTTCCTATTTGTCTCTAAACCGACTCTTTAAAAATGTAAACTCAGGGCCAGCGGGTGGCATGCTGGTTAAGTGACTAGACTCCCACATGGCTGATCATGGTTCGAGTCTCAGATCTGATGGCTTGATTTCTTTTTTTTTAATTTAAATTTATTTGTTTACGTTCATTCACTGTACATCATTACAGCATATAAAATGAGATTTTGCATCCAGAGTACACTGTATATTGTCTCAATTAAGCACATCAACAAACATGTTATTGCCAGCAAATAATTTTCCATTTCTTGTTTCCTTTCTGTTTTGCTTTTTATTCCCCCATCCTTGATTCCCTATCTCTTACCCTCTGCCATCTACCCCTATCATCCCACACTGTCTCTGGTATCTATGTTTACTTTCTATACTGTCCCCCCCATTTTTTATTGAATTACTGAAGATCTTACTTAATCTAAATATTTTCATAGCAAACACAGCTGATAAACACATTTCCATGAACACAAGTCTAACTTTAGGCATCCTATAAAGTAGCACCTAGCTGGGACTATATATCTTACTGAGGTCATCAAATTGATTTTTTTTCTTAAACTTTTTTTTTTTTTTTTTTGGAAATTTATTTTACTTCTTTCCCTTTTTTTTTCCTAAGCATCATCACAGCATACAAAATGTGATTTCCCATCCAGAATATACTGCATAGTGACTTAATTATGCATATTATCAAAAATTTTCCATTTATAGTTTCTAGAATTTTTTACCCCTCTTTCTGACCCTCTGTCCTTTCCCACCCTCTTCTCCCACTGTCTGATGGCTTGATTTCTCACTTTTCCTTTCTCTCTGTCTCTCTGCTGAATTAAATGATAATAATAAATAAAATAAAATAAAATTATTCTTAAAAAATGTAAACACATTGAGAAAGAAAACATTGTATTGCCATGGAAAAGCAGTATTACCTGCCACAAATTGAGGGAAGCTGTACAAGTTGCACAGAGAAAATGAAGTTATCAACTCTGGCCCGATATGCTACCTGTGAAGGTGCTGGACCTGCCTGTCTGAACTACGGAGAATGGTCAGAAGGCACCTGACAGGGTTCAAAGAAATACTCGCAGCAAGCTTTACTAACTTAAGCAGAAATGAGAAGAGCATAACTTTCTATGTAAGTCACTGTTACTTTATATCCTATCTGATTTTGGAAGTACCAGATTCCGTTTCCTCATTAGTTCAAGAAGACCTAACCTGCAGAGGTCTCCCTGCCAAGGTGTGCCTTAGACCAGGGTATCAGGCTTTTCTGGGGAGCTGCTTTCTGACTCCTGGCAGGCCTGAGGTGGCTATAGGGTAGGAGGATGGGTCTTTGGGCACATGAGCTCTGCTGACAGTAACGCGCACAGCTGGAGAGGGGAGGTGGCCCCCACTGGCTGGGCTCTCACAGGCACAGAGGGAAGAGCATGATGAAGCAAAACGGCTTGCAAATCTACCAGACAAGTTTCAGGAATGCTGGCTTTCAAGCACATCCTAACGAACGGCTGGGAAAACCCAACTGCATAACAGAGGCTTCAGTATCGAGACAGAGCAGCTCAGGAAGTGAAAGAAGTCCATCCGCGGTTTGCTACACGGAGTTCTCACTGCTCCCTGACTACCCTAAGCATGAATGCCTTCACTCCTCGTTTTTGTCCATGCTATCAGGCCCCGGCAGGCTAGAGTTCAGAATGAGGTCGACAGTGGCACAAAAAGAGGTTGCAGAGAGGTGGGGTCAAGTGACACAGGACCTTTGACGAGAGCCAGATTTCCTGACTGCTGTGTCTGAAAACAATATGAACTCCTACGTGCAAAGTCTAAGATGTGTATGCGACACGTCACTCCGTGTTGATCATGCCACTGGAATCCATTAGAGCTCTCCTGTCCAGTATGACAGCCACTCGCCACGTGGGGCTATGATTTTTAATTAAGATGAAATACAGTTAATCCAGTCCCTTGGTCACACTCGCCATGTCTCAAGCGCGTAACAGCCACACGCGCCTAGTGGTTAGCCATTTTAGTGGAGTGAGTTAAATGAAGACAGTGAACGATTCTTTTGAGAGGCTGTGAGGGGCAGGGAAATGGGCAGTACTAGATGGCGCTTCATATGGGGTTGAGGGAAGGTTTTATTTTACCCGGGCATTGCTGATGGGAATGATTTCCTGGAGAGGGAGCGGAAATGAGAGGAGACCTGACGAGGAAGCCCGGTCCTGCGGGAGGGGAGAGGGCACCGAATCCGGAACTGTGGAAGCAGCCAGGCAGGCTGCTCGCTTCTGACTGGCACACAGGCCACGGGCAGAGCGAGCAGGGCGGTGGCTTGGCAAAGGGCACTTCCTGTGATTCCTGCTATTAATATTTTTCCAACTCAGCGTGATGCAGGGCATTAGTTTAGAGTGAGGAACAGGGGTTTGGTGAAAATTTGAAGAGGCCAAGGTCTGAACCGGTTCCCTCAGAGCAGGAAAGATTAATTTAGAAGAAAGGCGCTGGGAAGGGACATGAGCAGGGGGAGCTGAACTCGGGCACTTCTTCATTTGAACCTTTAATAGTTCTCCAGTGCCTCTGGGGTAAAACAGCACGACCGCGGGCCAGGCAGGCCTTGTGGGAAACCCAATCGTCTCTCCGCTCTCACCAGGCTCCACTACCAAAGGCCTTCTTCCAGCCTTTCACCTGCTTCTCTCCTCTCCAAGGACAGGACTTGGACCACGCCCTTCGCCTAGAACCCTCCGTTTGCCTCTGTCCGGCTCCTTAATGTCTCAGCTCAGCCCCTGCTTCCTGGGGAAGCCCTGTCCCCTCTCCTTACTGAGCCAGGTCATGCTGTAATTGACTCTCATGGTCTCATGGCACCACCCAACCTGAGATCTTGCCGGAACTTAGACAAGGTGAGACCTTACATTTCTTCAGGAGACGACTGGCTGATGTCTGACTCCTGCACTAACACAAAGAAGGTACCCCATAAACATGTGTTCAGGGGATAAGGAGAGACCCGCTGAGAGGCTGTTGTGATGGTCTAAGTGAGAGCCACTTAGACCAGAGCTGCTATCTTTTTTGTTTTTTTGAGAGGTTTTTGCTATAGGGCGTGTGCGCTTGCCAGACAGAGAGACAGAGAGACAGAAAGTGAGAAATCACCCTCCAGGGGGGGATGGCCACGCGGCAATCCCTTCTCCTCCATTCTCCTCCCAGGATCTTGGGCACGTATGCACACGCCCGGCGTGAGTTTAAGCCACCGGACAGGGACTCGAACCGTGGTTGACTACGTGGGAGTCCAGCGACATAGCCATTACACTAACTACTGGTCCCAGAGCTGCTACTGCAGGGAGAGAGCGGAGCGGAGAAAGGAGAAGAGAGGAACATTGTGCTCCAGCACAACTGAGAGCAAGGCAGTAATGCATGTTGCTGTAAGGCATGGCCAATAAACGTGGTTACTAAATGAGCATTTCCCTCCTCTGTGCAGCCTCCTCCACTCCCCAGGGGACACTGGTGACAATGTCCTCTGTGTCCCTGTGGCACACTGCGACCCTGTTGTGGTTACAAGTCTGTTTCCCACTTGAAGGCCGAGACTCCTCCTATCTCCAGTCTGTCACCACGCGCTCTCCCGTTCTGAATGAATGGCTTGGAGGCTCGGGAAGGGTGTTACAGGAGCTCTCCCTGAGGGGCTGGAACCCGTAACGAAGGACTGAACTTGAAGATGGGGAGGGCTTCTTCAGAGTAGAAGACGCGGCCGAGGGAAAGGGTAGCTGCGGGTGCACCTCTCCCTTCTAGGTGGCTCAGACAATAGAGATGCATCCTGCCACACGGAGAGGACACAGGAGCGTCCTCGCCACTCTAGTGTGAGTGCTCTAGATTGGGCCATGCTGGCCAAAGGGCTGGCTTTGTTTTTACCATCAGCTCTTATATATCAATAAAGAGTAACAACCGAAAAGATGAATGAGTACTGCAAGTAGTTCTCAGACAATGAAAAGTAAGTAACATATCAAACATACATAGGGCCGGCCCTGTGGCCGACTGGGAAAGGGAGCTGGATCCCATATGGCCCACATGGTCTGAGTCTCAGTCCTGGCAGCTTGAAAAAAAAATATGCCAGACACACGTGTGTGGGTGTCCCAAATACTGATGAATTGAGAAACGGAGAAGGGACTGTGGTGTGACCATAGCCCAGTGGGGGGTGCTGCTCCCTCTTTCTGGCAAGCACACGTGCCTTGGCAATTAAAAAAATACAAAGATGAATAGATAGGTAAGGTTACTTACTATTACAGACCAATGTAAAATAATAAGATACTCTCTCTCTCTTTTTTTTTTTTTTTGGTAATGATAAAGAGCATAAGAAACAGAGAATGCACCCTCAACAGAGTCTTGTCATACTGCAGTTCCCTTTCCCTGGCCCTCCAGCCCCCTCAGGATTCCGGGCACCTGCCAAGAACATGCTCAGGCTTCTGGGGACCTGAACGTGCAGTTGCCATAGGGCTTCCAGCCTTGCAGGGCACCAGAGTTACCACGGTGCCACAGCAGTTGGACCGCAAGGTAGAACTGGGATGGACTTCTCTCCTTAATAACTTTTTTAAATGGAAAAGTTGAAAAACAGACAAGTAAAAATTCAAAATGTTAAAGAGTACATAATGAAAAGGATCCCTCTTTCCCAGAAGTTCACAGTTATCAATTTTTATTAATCCTCAAGAAAATACTCTATGTATATACAAGCACAACATTTACATCTCTCCCCTTGCTTTTTTAAAAAAATAATTATTTAATTTTATTCATTGTCATTATTTTATTTTATTTTATTTTATTTTATTTTATTTTATTTTATTTCAA